CATAGATTAGAAGAAGCTATTGGCATCCATGCAGAATATTACCCGTTTCCATTAAAACCACTTGCATTTGAATCGATTAAAAAGTATCTTCTGTTTGAAAAGATGTTTTCCAGGCGTTATTTGTCTGATTATATTTCATTTATTGCCAAAAAAGGAAGCTGCTAAGAAAATCTTCTTGGAATTTTGTGATTAATGCCTAACGTTGCGAGATGACGGCATGAAGAATTTTAGTACATTCAATGTAAAGTTTTATGATAGGAGATGATTGTCCATTGAAGATCTTGAAGAATACAGTATAGTATAGCGACATAAAAGAACAGTATAGTTAATCGATCTATTAAATGGTTTCGTTTATCTCCTCAATTGACTCGGGTTAAAAGTAGTACGTCCATCTATAATTAGAGCTTCTTTCATTCATCACTCATATTACAGCCTTATTATCATCACGTGATACACATACTCGCTACATCGATTTTTTAAACATGTAGATACTGAAGCGAGTACTGTGTGGTATAAGCAGCGAGAAGTCTGATACCTCTCTTTCTTGAAGTGTGTGCGGTATACTTTTTTGATCTGTGAGAAAAGTTTTCTTGTTTACACTGGAATAATAAATGGGACTCCTGAGAAACAGGTAACTAAATGAGTTATTTATTTTTAAATATGTCAGCTGTTTTTTTACCTGTAATATATATCTAACAATTTATTAACAAATTTTTCATCGAAATTTCAAACTTCCAACTTCAAAGATAAAAACAATTTATTTAGTTTTAATTTAAGAAATTTTAAAAAAAATTGATGTCTAATCTCAAGAAAACCCACGCAATAGAAAAAGTTCTTTTGAGATGTTCAAAGTAAAATAAATTTTGTGGTGTCAAAGTTTTTTCTCACTTCAACTAGATTACATGTACTTAATTATGTACCTCCTATTATGAGAAGAAGAAAACAGCCGTAGTTAAATTTTTCATGAATATTCCAAAAAACAACCAGGGAACCTTTCCTGCTTTGACTTTGAGATGTCTTATTACGTTAAAAATAATATAAGTCTTATTTCATCTGCGAACTTTTTTTTTCACAAAACAAAAGGGAACTAATGCTTACCAAGTTCCTAAATACAAGTGATAATCAAAAATATTTAAAATTTATATAATGGTATATTTCGTTCCTGATAAAATAAGACGCTATCTATTATTCAATAATCAACTTTTAAGAACAATTACAGAGTGCTGTTTCGAAATTTATATCTTTTTTGTGTTCCATTACTTAATATGATCTGTACACCATCGAAATGTTTTAGTATTTTCTTTTTCGAAACTTTTCGATTTCGCTTTCAATCGATATTAAAAAAAGCCTTTTTACCAATCCAATCACAATTTTATTTCAGTCTTATTTTTTTAACATTGCATATTAAATTTTTTTCTGTCAATCACTTTTTTTTTCTATGTTTAGTCACATTCACATGCCTAGAAGAAATCGCTACAAAATGCAAAAAAAATCCTTTAATAAATTTCACTTTTTGTATGATCCAGTTTTAATATTCATATTGCTTGTTTTGTTTTGGTCTGCTTATTTATTTCTTCTTAATTCCAATCGTGATATCAAATTTCTAAATAAAATATTTGCATGATATTGAGTCGATATCCCTTTTTCGAAATAGCAATGGCCAGTGCGCTTGTAATTTTGTTTTCCATGAAAAATCGAATGATAAATGATTTAGAGGGGTATAGATTTTCAAAGATTTGCTAATATGCGCCAAAAGAGGTCAATTTTTCGTATCCGTATCACTCCTCAATGTAAAAATAAGTGTTCGAATGCAATGACATTAACTTGGATATTTCAATAGTTGCGAAAGTTGAAATGATTAACCCTCGAAGCTCAGTTCGGAATAAAAACGTTCTTTATCTCTTGGCATGAAGATATTGTATTGAATAATTTAAATTGCATAATAATAATGGTCTAATTTTTAAAACTGGTCTGTGATAAACACATTAAATCCCACATTCGCTAATTTCAAGGTCTCGTGCAAGACTTCTTCTGGAATAGAGCTTTACATAATTTTAAGTTTTATGTGATTATAATATCAACCGGTACAATTTAACGATTTGAGAAAACAATAATTGCAAAATAACATCAAAAGTATCTTTATATTCATATGGTTTCTAGTTTTAAATCCCATAGCGTAAAAACACATTTCTTGTGTAATAACATATTGGAATGTAATTGTAATATGATGCATCAAGTAATATTATGTGTTTTCTATGTACACTACTTCTTATTTTACGACCTACCAGAATTATGATATGCTATTTGGGATTTTAACTTCGTATTCGAAAGAAAATCAAAGTTTAGAAACTCGATGAAAAACAAAATCTGACAGTTTTCATCGTTATTTTCAACAATCGATAAAAGTTCTCATCATAATATCTTTCTGTCATATCAAATTTATAAAACTAATAAACCACACTGTGGGAATTGAAATTTTACAACTCACCAAGTCTCGACATGCTTGTCATACATATAATTTTTTTTATAATGGTGCTTCTTTGTAATGTTTTTAATAATCTAGACATTCAATTAAGTTCACGAGTCCTTGAAATTTCCTTGAATTTATGCGATAAAAGTGCACCCAAACTGAAATTGGACTCAAGTTCACTGGCGATTCAAAGCATCTCATCGAACCTGTCGCTCGTGGCATGGATCTCAAATCTGGCTACCAGCTGTGATCAACTGGATGGTGGAAGATTAGGTTTAGTTGTCAGATCCCAATTTCGTTAGATAAGTAGAACATATTGTGCAAGTGATGGCAACTGTGGTTTTTCAGTCATTAGTGCTCTCAGGTCGACAAAGGTGATTTATCAGATACCAAATTGCCGTTCATTTCTAGCAGGCGTTTAAAACACAGTGCTCTGAGATTTTGTGTTTCACAGTGGCGATCATTCATTCGTAGAGCTTCTGTTAGTATTGGATCTTTCGATCCGGGCCTCGGTTATAGAAATTTCACCTCTATGCACCGTTAAAACGAATCCCAAATGAGCCTTCTTTTAGTGAAATGATTAGAAGATGTTCTGTTGGTTTTGGAACATGCAGAGAAAAGACAATTTTGGGAATTGGAACAAACTTTGGCTCGGTTGATTTTAAAGATTTCGATTGACGTCATTAACGAACAATTTCAAAAAGAAATCTCTAAAAGTACTCATTTAAGCAAATTTGTGTCTTCTTTTTTATATCATTAATCGTGTTACTTTGGTTTAACTCATAATAATGATATAAAAAAGAAGACACAAAGTACCACGATTAATATGTGAAAATAATTGAATTAAGCTAAATAAATCAGGTTATTATTAATAATAGAAAATAACCAGGTTCTAATGAAAGCAAGTTTTCATAATGAATGGTGTTTGATAAAATACAGGTTACTAAAATGTAATGAACATCTTAGTTTAATTTGATATAATCAAACAGTGTCTCTCATGTCATAAACGCCTTATTACAGACCACAAACCGATGTTTTCTTCAACTGTTATCTCCTTCAGCTCAGTGCACAAGAGAAAAAACGCTTACTATTAGCGTACCAATTTCGGGTCAATTTCATTGGTTTTGTCAGCTTATGGACTCTGACGTATGGATTTCGGTTTGGATACAGATGTTTTTTTCGTCCATGAAATCTGGCACATTGAATTTCAAGATGAAATGACATCTACAGATATAATAATACCAGATTGGATTTTATTCTCGTTTTCTAAGAGAGCACAAACGTAAAGGTACATTGTGCACAATATTATCATATAAAACTAGTTTTACTTTACACAACGTTTCAACAATTCACAAAGTCAACATCGAGTGATATCAAATTTTGTACAAATTGGAGTGGTATGCTACCATAAAATAACGTATCGTTATATTTTCTCCACAAATATCACTTATTAAGTATATCAACATATCATTAACGGAAGGCAGTTTTTATAAACCACTCATAATTAAGAATAAAATCTTTTCAAAATCTGTAACAAGGGCATTGCTACAGGTTCATATGAACACGATCACAGAAAAGAACGAGACATAACGCAATTGTTACTTAATACACATTAATAGGTTTATTATATAAGCATAAGATGATGACCTCGTAAAAAAACGTAACATGAACTATATAAAGGAATGTAATGAGACACAACGGGTATCTTGGAAGTAGAAATATCATAAATGCCATGTAATTATCAATGAGATAAATTATACCGTCTTAGAAATCGCGACAAAAGTCTTAAAGGCAATGGAAAGAGGCAAGACGAAATTTTTGGATATAGGTTGTCATCAATTATCAGCCAGTTAAAACTTGGTCCCAACAGCTTTTGTTGATCGACAAACAAATACGTTTCTATTTTCCTGTTACTTTTATAACACCTTATCATTATCAGCTGTAAATGGTCAGTATTTACTGGATGAATTTAGACGAGATAAACGTTGAGAGAAGTTCTCAAAATATTGTATATTGTAGCAACAGGTATATCGTTAACAATGGAAACATTCTTGAAAGTTCTGTTAACCGATAACTTTCCTTTGATGTTACTTCGAACTTGTAACCTGCTGAAGGAAGACTGATAGGACGTTTTTGAACGTTAATGAACAATCATTCAAAGTCCAAATAAACCCAAAATTAAATAAGCACATTCCAGAAATCTTAATTTTTAAAACATTTTGGAAATACATTATAATTGCAAAGAAATTGTGGACTTAGCTCAGCTAAAGAAAGCGGACGAACTTCTTTCCAATCACATATAGGTATTGAAATGTGTCACAAGGGATAAATAAAAATCCCATGTCGGCCTTGTGAATGACAAAATAGTCGATTTTCCCATTCAAGTTAACAATTGCAGGCAACTTGCTAGTATCTCAGAATCGAAAATTGTTGTTCATGGGCGCTCAACCAAGACTAGTCAAATGTTATTTCATTATTTTATTTTCTTTCTTGCAACAAAATTGATCTAGATTCGTCGATATTCACAAGGATGGCGACAATAATTCTGGATAATATAAAAGTACATTATCCATATTCTAGTCAATTGTTATGGTCAATTGTCGTTCACAAAAGTTCACATAAACCCAATTTGTGCGGACACAGCGAAAGATCAAACCGTAAGTCGTAAAACGTGTTCCTTACTTCATCAGGAATTATGCTACCGACTACTGTTATGTGGTATATGTCAATATCGTGCACATTAAAAATTTACAGACAAAATGCCTCGAGTGATGATAGTGAAAAAAATGTTGCTTTAGTCGATTACAGAAGGATAATAAGAATTCTTAGATCAAGATCTTATTAATTCATACAATATTGGTTCCAAGGTATATTGTTATAAAGATGGTATCTAGACATAGAGTCATAATATCAACTTTGATATATAGTATAGTACTTAAGGCAGTACTTGACTTGGTATTGTGCATATTTACTAACAGCTTCAACTCAAGTGCTATCTCGGTAATTATAGTTACTTAGAAATTAAAGCAACTGTATGCAATAGGAAATCGCTTCGCATCGATGTTTTGTGGCATTCCTTTCTATTCGAATCAATGAAAATGCTATTGCAGTCTGCAATATGAATTATTTTGCCTTGACGTAGATTTTTACATGACTTTGTGTAAATTTCATGTCACAGCATGGGTTTTCGTTCCACTCCGACGTGCACGGTGGAGTTTTGGAAATAAAAGTTAGTGTGACATCGATTCTGGTAAGCTATGCTACATCAACTCCCATCCATCATTTTACTAAAGCTTAAACAGAAATAACGTTCGCGTGTAACAGTACGTCTTATCTGTACCAGCTTCGAAAAAATAAAATTTGCGAAAAAAAAATCGTGTGCTCTTGTAAACAGAATTATATCTTTATTGCTACAATCAATGAGAGAAGTTATCCTAATCGTATATCTTTCTAAAATACATTTAATTCTATTTTCAAATTTTTGTCACTGCAGCATTCAGTTATAACTTTAGCTTTTAGACATCTCAAATAATTGTCAAATAATGTAAACTAATTCCATATTTTTCCAATGGAACATGATCATGTGAAGAAGTGTTATATTTCTAATTGTGCACTGTGAGGTTGCTCAAAGTGATTAGCCCAATCAAGGTTGAACTCGTATTGTTTTGAAATAGAACATAATGTCGTGTGAAGAAGTGTCAAAAGGACATCGCAGTTGGACTTTTAATCCTACCAACAAATGTCATTTAATGCTTCAACAGATAACCATCATTTATGGTACTATTACTAAGTGTGAACTGGACTAGACGGACGGTAAATGACATTTATATAGGCTCTATAATAGGGTTCTATTGATTCAGTAATTGGCGGGAAATTACCAAGGATTTTTTTCTCGATTTCAAGGAAATCTGTCATTTATTTTGATTAATGTAGTGTTAAAATGACAGGCTAATAAAACAACAACTTCTGGGACATTTTAACTTAGCAAGACATCCAAATATAGATGTTTGGAGGACAAACAGTAAATGCAAAATGCTCCCGTTAGTTAAAACTTTTAGAAACATATCAAGCAGGTCGATTTTGCAATGCATGCATAATGTCAAAAGTACATCTATAATGCCTCACATATTGTATTCCAAGGTAATGGAAGACAAATGCCATCGAATCCTGGAGACACAAATTACTCCTCTGTTATGCATGACAAACAAGTAAGGGAGCCAGTCAATGCTTGATGTAATATCCTTGCCAGCTGACCAACATTTCAGATCTGAATTTCATTTTTTTTTCATAAGAGTAACTTCCGTCCGTTGAAGCATGTTGAAGCATTTGGCCAAAGATGTTCTGATGTACTGTTAGTGGTAACATACGAGTCATTGCCAGGTTTTAACACTTTTTCATAAGGTTTCTGATGATAACTAACACAGTAACAGTTGTAGTTGACATAAATATGAAATAATATCATACCTATGTTCTAACAATGTTAGGTAAAGCTAATTGAAGTCCTTGCATGGTACTATTACAGTCAAACATAGGTGGATTTTGGAAGAAAAGTTTTCTCAAATCAATGTGCCATGTACTAAAATTGCCTTCTTGGAAATGAATGAACTTGGTCGTCAAATCCACAATAAAGGTAAAGCTATCAGAAAACCTCTGAAGAATTATCAAAAGGAATTTGAATTTTTAGTTTACGTTACATCTGTATTTATTATGAAAAATAAAGTTATAATTCAGTGAGAGTAATTTTGGGAGCAAGAACTTATTTAAGGATTTTATTCTGGATTTGCGAGGGAACAATGTCATTTGTATTTCCATCTACTGATTAAATGAATGCTTCAGCTTTGGTCTTTAGTTTTTGGACATCATTTAACAGACCGGATTGCATTCAAGAGGTATTTAGAACATCTCATCATGGAATTTTCATCTATCGATTTTCCCACTGAATAGAGTTGCATTAATGATCTTGTGGTATTGTAAATGGAAGTTTATTTACATGTAGTCTGTGTTTGTTTTTGGTCCGTGGGTTTTCGATTATCGATTAAGATTAGTGAAGAGGTTTACATTTCACGTCATTATTTACAATTATTATAAATTCTGTATTTATCTTTCAGAGAAATTCCACGAAACTCGCAGGAATAAATCATTAGTTGATGCTACACGTGTGACGGGCTGTGACACTGAGAATTAGACTATGGCAACAGAAATTGGATTTATGTCACACAAAACAATGTGAAGAATCCTTGTGATTTTTTCCAAGTGGATTACTTAAGATTTTGAATTCTGGCTAAGAATCTGTCAATTGTGAAATACCATACAAAAAACCTCAAATCTGTACAACGTATTTTTGTAAAGCTCTTGTTTCAAGAAAATCAAATTAAGAAACGTGTTTAAGTCGAGAAAAGAATGGTGCGGTAGTATTTTTTATCCAGTCTTGTAACAGATGTGTAAATGGACTACTGTATTCATACTGCACAACAAAACATCTTAAATTACTGGAAAAACAAACTCGACTTCAATCGAAACAGGATGGAATAAAATATAAAAATGATGTAAATGTTATAACACTTCAGGGTATTTCCTATGCTACAGGCCTAATAGTTACTTAGGTTACCTTTGTGTTACATAAGGTGAGACATTTTCTTATATATTGTCATTTTATTTTAATAACTATATGCTCAATGCTTAGAAATAGAAATCTAGGAGTGTATGGCATCGCATTGGCCATACTAGTTACTTCTAATTATTCTTGGGGCTTGTGATGTTTTAAAAATAAATGATCATAATAGTTCAAATTCGTAGCAAACCCTGAATTGATTCACTCTTACGAAAGCCTTATGAATTCATTTATTTTCTACAAAGATACTTCTCCACGATTCTATGCGCAGAACTTCTCACGAGGTTCAGAAAATGCGTCCGCTATGGGGAAATGCTGAAGCCACACGGTGCAACATGTATTCATGAAACTATTCTATAGTGGCAACCAGCATTACCTGTCTTTTAGTAGCTCAACTAGGGCAGAAAAGTAGGGCATAAAACACAATTAGATTTCATTTATTTTAATACTTTCACCTATCTGAATTTACGTGATCGCTTTATAATGATCAAGCCAGTCCTAAAAGAATAATCTACACCAAAAGGTAGACAGAAATGCCTCTTTTGTTGGAACGGTTTCCAATGTTGTTGTTCTAAATCTACTAAGATTAAATGAGATGTGTCAGATTACTGAAAAAGATGTGCAGTTACTTAACATACTTATTTTTTCAGCTTTCATTTTTCTGTTGTAATTGGCTTATCGTTAACCTTATCTAAATATTTGGCATAACCAGATAGTTATCATTTCAGTTTGACTGCAGGCAATATCTCTAGTTGTTATATCTCGGAATGCTTGTATATTCTCATCTGTGAGAGTGCAATCTGTTTGCCACATACTATTAAATAGATAAATCAAATAAATTTCATGTTTAGTGCATCGTTGTTTAAGTGAAACAGAAAACAAGTGTCGGTATATGAAATGACTATAGTTTCAATCCCTGATGACGACAGGCAAAGCCTACCGCAATGAACAAAAGGGACACAAATTGGCCCATTTTACTGTCGATGTGTTTTATCACCTTTATCTCTCAGTCTTATCATGTCATCTATACGACTAGATACTCAGACAAAGTATTTACTTCACAAATATCAACTTTGTCAATGAAACTAATTAACCCGGAATCTCCGGATTGCTGAACCAACCCACTCCCAATAAGTCATTAGCTTATAAGTTATGTACCTTCAGCAAAAAATAACAACAGCGTCAGTTCAGACAGTTTCAAAAGGTGGTAAAACTACAATTGCTTTAATAGATATTGCCGAACATTGTTTCTGATTCTTGACAATAATAACTATTGCGTACGATACTTCGCTTCCTTTGAACATGCCATAGGTATACCTTCTAGCAAGATCATATCTCTGAGCAGAAGAGACACACTTCCGCAATATAGGTGAAAGAATTACCTACATACTTGTGTCTGGAAATATTTCGCTGCGGGGATCTATACACATATACTGTGTAATGTTATAGTACATTCTAATTATTAGATTCTATTATTCCATCAGTAATTTCTATATTATCCTAGACATTAAATTAAAAGCATCAAATAGCCCCGAGGTACACGACTGGTCAGGCGTGTAACGTCCCTTTACGTCTATTTTGTAACATACGTTACTCTACTTTTCCAACAATTACGGAAAATCTTCAGAAATATATTATCGCGGATATTTTGAATATAGGTAAACCTCTGGTAATTTTACACATAATACACTCTTGCAAAAGAGGTGATAACATTACATAAACTACTCTTACAGAAGACGTGGTAATTTTACATAATATACACCCTTAAAGAAGACGTGATAACTTTTCTTTCAGTGAATCACTTTTAGAACAAAAAGTAATAAACTTAAAAGGAAAGAACAATAATCCGATCTGAAGATTTTAAAAAGTACACGAAGCCTGGGTCATTGTTTTTTAATGAATGAGGCCACTCACGCCAGTAATTTATTTATCTTCTCATGGGGATCTTCTTTGCAATGTTCTATACATATTATGGGGACACGCTATTTTGACATTTGTTACGGTATTAGCGTAGGTGGGTACAAATGATATAATTAACACAGTTTGAAGCCTCTGTGAGTTTAACAATCGAGAAATAATATCGAATCCGCTCTTTTGGGAAGTATAGACCCAACTTACGTTCATGGGTCATAATGGGGGATTGACTAATCAGTACATATTGATGGTGTAAAGGCAAGAAAACTGCTTCTGCCAAAAAGGTCGAACGGTCTACGCAGACACCATTAGCCTCCTACTTCACCATCCAATATATCGAAAAAAAGAAGAAAATTACGATTGTGACAAGAGATAACACAAATGCACGTTCTAGAGATTTTTTAAAACCAACTTCTATGAGATTACCAATAAGATTAAAATAAGACCAAAAGCAATAAGACAAAATAAGAGTACCACTACATTACTATAATATCATTCACCATCATGTTGTGCTTAAATTTAAAACCAATAAGACAAGATAAGAGTGCAAATGCATTACTAAAATAGCATTACCATAGCAAAACCAATTGGACGACATAAGAGTACCACTACATTACTATAATATCATCATTAGTTTGTTCTTAAATCCAAAAACAATAGGACGAGATAAGATACNATCACATTACTATCCAAAACAGTATTACAATTACATAACGCAATATCATCATGTTCTGCTTAAATTTCTGAACCATGCTGTACTTCAATCCAAAACCAGTAGGACGAGATAAGAGTATAACTGTATTATTACAATATCATAAACGCTACGTCGTGCTGAAATCCGAGTAAAACGCATTACTACCAATATCATTAACGTTACATTGTGCTCTAAGCCACAACATATCGGATTATCAGATAAAACTATAAACTGAAGCATTTTTTTTGTTAAGCTCTTTTGTCAAGGATAAATCTTAATAACAGCTGCCAGGATTATTTGTAGCTTCAGATGTAAGCGAAAACAAACTTTTGCTACTTCCTTTAATCTTGGAATTTTCATTGACCTACTAATGTTCTGAATGGAACAAAGCCACATTATGTGGGTTGATGCATTCTCGGAATGTAAATGTAAAAACAAAACTTTTATGTTTTACAAAATTGTTGGTCTTTTAGTGGCCTTACTGAACACAAACTCAATATTGGAGTAGCAAAATGTTCCAAACAATTTGGAGGTTTGCTATTGCATATCATTTCTGTCAGTAGGCAACTTCAAAATTGTCTGAGACAAATCATTAAGCTAAAAGTTAACTTAATAGTAAAAAATTCAATTTCATATTATGTTATTGACAAAACCTTCCTAATAATAAATTTTCAACAATTACTCTTCTTATCAAAAAAACTTATTTTACGACGAGATCTCTTAATTTCCCAAGTGTATAAAATTTGCCCAAGTCAAATTTATTAAAACTAATATGTTGTAACTAATATTACGGAAGACATAAGTCAATAAATCAGTTAAAGGAAGAAGAATGCACCAACTTTCACCATTAGCTTTTATCTTATTTCATCAGTATGACAATGATAGAAATATTTCAAGATATACTCTGAAC